TTTCTTTTTTTGTTTGTTTGTTTGTTTTTTGGGTTTCTTTTGTCATGGAAGCATACAAAATAGAGAATTTTCATGTATACCAAATTCTGCTTCTGGACCATTTTAAGTTGGTCATGCATTTATATAATGTCCTGTTTATTTTTGCCTTTGTACAGTTCGTATGCAGAGGTGCAAAGATAAGAGTCTGTATGGAATATTTTGCCAAAAGAGGTCTAGAAACATTTGAAAACGTATTTTAATGATGACTGGAACACAAATTGAAAATGGATATGTCCTAAATGCTTTGAAATTTAAATATATTTTACTCACAACATTTAGCATAGAGTCCTTAGCATAGACTCCATTCTCTAACACGTCTTTAATTTAACCTTGATGATATTTCCCCAGTATTCTATGTGTTAAAATATATATAACATAAAAGATACTATTTTGACTATATTTAAGTATACAGAGTGGTATCATTAATGATACCATTATGATGTGTGATCATCACCACCATCCACCTCCAAAATTTTTTTCATCTTCAAATTGAAACTTTATACCCTGTAAATAATAACACCCCATTCCCCCTCCACTGCTCTAATCCCTGGAAATCACCTTTCTACTTCCTGTCTATGATTTTGGCTACTCCAACTTCCTCCTATTAGAGGAATCATATAGTACTTGCCTTTTTGTGACTGATTTATATCACTTAGCATAATGTCCTCAAGTTCACCCAGGTTTTAGCATGTCAGAATTCTCTCCTTTCTTATAGCTGAATTGTATGTATATAAAACCATTTTTCGTATCTATCCGTCCATCTATGGACATTTTGATTGCTTCCAAGTTTTACCTATTGTGAATAACAGTACTATGGACATGGGTCTACAAATATCTTTTGAGACCTTGCTTTCAGTTATTTTGGGTATATACTCAGAAATGGAATTGTTGGATCATATGGTAATTTTATATTTTTAAATTTTGAGGAGCCACCCGTTCCAATTTCACTACAGTTCCAATTTCTCTCCTTGCCGAGACTTGTTATTTATTGTGTCTTGCATAGTAGCCATCCTGATGGATGTGAAGTAGTGTCTCATTGTAATTTTGATTTTTATTTCCCTGATATTCAGTGATGCTGAGCATCCTTTCAGGGCTTAGTGGCCATTTGAATGCTCTCTGTTCAGTAAAATTTTGAGTGTGGCCTTATAACTTTAAAATTCATATTTTATGAAGAATTTACCAGTAGTATATAAAAGTACAACTTAATTTCTGGGCCTCTGCTTCAGTTGCCTTTTTTTTTTCCCTCTAATATCACTTATTGCTCTAACAATAATGGAAAGTTTGGATGGGGACGGAGGAGCATCTAAATTAAGAAAAATACTTAGCTTGTTTCCACAGATCTTCGAAATAGCACATTTTGAGGTGTAGCCTATCAGTGCCTGCTTATTTGCATATTCACAATGATATTCACAACATTATCTTAACTCTCTTTTAGTAAAGTAAAACATTCACTTGATAGCCCATTAAAAAAAACACATAACTAGAAAGTCACATCCCATGGAAAAAAGCTAATTAGCTGTACTGTTTTCACATTTTGTGTGCACATTTTTTTCCTTAATCAGGACTTTATTTAATAGCTCCAGTACTCAATATTTTTTTATCAATTGTTTCAAATTAATCCTTTTTTTGTTTTTGTTAAAGGCAATTATTAATGGGACCCAATGTGGTATGGGCCACTGCTGATTCTTGTCTCCCGTCACTTAAGCGAGCTTGTCAGGAAGTAGAGTAGCGATCAGTGTCCTTTCATCTTCTCTGAGGAGATGTCCAAAGCCAGTTCTGGGCAGACGCAAAGGATATGTCAGGACTGTTTTGTAATGAACTTGAGATGTTACCGGAAAAATTGAGGAGGCAATGTAGTTCAGGTGCCAGCAAGATGTTTCTGAAGTCCTGACAGACCCTGGGAATCATGATCATGATCATGTCACCTAATTATGATGTTGTGAGAGATATGTCCTTGGATGACCTTAGGGAAGGGACTGGGGAACTGCATTTGAAAATTGACAAAATTTAAAGAGCAATCATATTTCATAGCAAAAACTTGAGGAAAAATGAATTATGGAGAGATTATTCAAATTAAAATGATTTACTGTCTGTATATTTTAAGTGACAATATAGGCTCTATGTATTTAAGATATGAATCAATTCTTGGGGGGAATAATGTCCCCTAACATTATGACTCAGTCAGTTGAGCATTTGACTCTTGATTTCAGCTCAGGTCATGATCCCAGGGTCTAGGGATCAAGCCCCACACTGGGCTCCACACTGAGCATGGAGCCTGCTTAAGTTTCTTCTTTTTCTCCCTCTGTCCCTGTCCCCTACTAGTGCTCTCTCTGTCTACCAAAT